TCCTACTCTTCTGTCTTCCTCTGTATATTTTTAGATTTCACTGCTGGACACTGGTGGCTCTTTTGTTGTAAGGCATCGATGTCTGACGCCCAGGCAGTCTACCCTGTACTCCACAGGGATGTGTGAATTACTTCCTTCCCATCCCACTGACCTATTTACAAAATGTTAGAAATAATTCGAAATAATGGTAAAAATGGTAGAGTGCTGTTAGAAATATTTAGAAACTATTGGAAATGTCATAATCCACATCAGGAATATTTCAAACGTTTTAGAAAACCAGGGAATTATTTAGAATATTGACAAGATGTTCAAAATATTTCCAAATTATGAAATTTCTTAGACAAACAATTACAAAGAATTCAAAACATTTCTAAATAATGACAATAACAACCCACTCGGTGACACAGAATTGACTCTAGAAACACAAATTCACAGTGTTATGATTTTGCAGAAACATTTCTGGTCACCCTAAAAATAAAACCACTGCAAAAGTGTCTGTACTTACAGTATATATACAACTAACAGATGGTCGTCAGAAATTACAATGGAAATGCCTGCTGGCAGCCATAAGTTGGTCAGGTTCAAAAGGGAACACCAGAGACCACTGGAACAATTGTCTTGAAACAAAATATACCTAGGAGTATTTTCTTTTTTTTCTATCACTGCACTGGTCCATCACAATTTGCATTTCTGACGGTGGTTCGAATTTATTGCCTGGAAAAAGATGAAAAATTTGTAAGAGAAAAAGCTACATGTGTAGCATATTCTTCTCAAATTCTCAAAAAAGTGCATTGTAAGTGATACAAACCAGTAATGGCAGTGCTTTGTTATGACTATCTTTCTTTATGGAGTCCTCAACAAGCTATATAGGACGTAATTTGTGTATATGCCAGACTCTCCCCATTGAAATTATGAATCATTCTCCAGATTGGAGATCTGAAAATGAGAACCCTTCAAAACAGGTGTGTAGCAGTAGACAGTTCACAACTGAAATTAGTGAAAAGACGTACTCAACAGAAAGATCCTAACAAAAGTAAGGAAGAATTCCAGGTGTGCTGATGATGTGGTGGCATTCTTTTTTCTCTACAAATCAAAATAACTTTTACATACAGGATGCCTCTTCAAGAAGTTACCAGGTGTTGAGAGAGATGTTGTTTTTCACCTCTTTCCTACATGTAATCACAATTCTAACGTTGATGTAGCTAGTTTCTTAATTTATTTTAACAACAACGAAAGATGGTAAGTGACCACCCAAGAATCTGCAAACTAAGGTACAAAACATCTCACAAATCTTGGCACTGCACTTAACATCCTGTGCCACATTCAAGCAAGAGCCACCCACTTCTATTTCTGAACTGAACTATGACTATGCAGCTTCACATCTATCCAGATATATAAGTCTAAACCATAAGTAATATCCCAGCTCTAAACTTACTGACATGCGTAACCCCATATCATCCAGGAATGACACGGACTTTACAAAATAAGCACTGCCATCGATCAGTGGGTCCCGATTACTTTTCTTACGACTTTGTAGCTTTGGGGAAAATCTTATCACCTGAAAGCAGGTACAGCACATCTTTTACACTGAGCGTGAATAATTCACTGCATTTGGTTGTCATTGGGGCATGATAGATAGCGGTGGTGATTCCTGTCACACAGTCCCAAATGCCTGGAGAGTACAGGGCCCTAATCTACCATAAGGGACTTAATTGCCTAACCAGAGATAGAGGCCTGAATTTGCCACTGGTTGACCTTAGAATAATCAAATCAATACCAGAGACGTGTTTGCAACAAGGCCGCGAGATGCCGGGTCAACATTCTGGTCAGAGGACACTGGATTTACCCGCAAATTTAGATGTCTACGAGATTACGAACCCCAGAATTCCTCTATCTACAAATGTGTAACTAACAATGAGATAGCTATATAGTGGGCATTCTGTGTATAACTCTATTCTACTTATAGAAGTCAATAAACTGTGGCAAAATGAGTTTGTTGATATCTGACCTTTGTTTGATCATTCAACTACTAAGCAAACAAAGTCTTGTAAAGGTACATTACAACCTGAGCGGCTGTAAATGAATCCTTAGAAAGGTGCTAATTCTTTTTTATAACCTATTAGAAACAAATAAAGGTCTCTAAGGAGTTTTCACACCTTTTTTGAGCATCTGCCCATTTGGCAAACCAACGCTAGAAGGTGTGAAATCTATCTCCATAGAATATAAATTGGTGTTAAAATCTCCACTACAGTATTGATTATGAAGTCAATAGGAAGCATATAAACTCTCCAAAATGACCAGGAGGGCCTTGCCTGTGGTAAGCATTGCAAAACATAGAAAGCCTGGCGTTCAGACTACAAAATGACTAACAGAATGCAGAAAATGATCGGACGCTGCTCCAAGTTTTTGCACAACAAAAGAGGCTACCATTAGTCACAGAGGATTCCGTACGCATACAATTATAAGGTGTACCAAATAAATTCGTAGCGAGTTGTTGCATGGCAGAAATATTGTAGCAAAACGTTCTGGAACATCAATGTGGGCTTTTCCCCCGGATTTGTGGGTTTGGATGATAATCTTGTGGTAGATTTGCCCTGGACACGCATGGATGTACTGGTAGTAATAACGTAGAGCTGCCACCACCCAAAAATGTTCGACGATCACCAAAGCTTTTAGAAAATCACATAATTCTCGGCATGGCTTTACTACAATGCCTCACTGGGAATCGGCGCCATTTTGCCGAACATTCTCAGAAAACACGACTGTGGAATCAACAAACAGTGGCGATTCAGGTAGCAGGGAGACTTAAAGGCCAACTGGGAAAATGGGTATCAAATTTTAGGTGAATAGGACCAAAAATCGCCCGCTGAAATTCTATCTGCGGCCATTTTTCTTGGCGTTCCCCAACTTTCACTTTCCAGGGGCTATTCCAGACGTTCTGACCGACGAAGTACGAGTATAAAAGGCCTCTCTCCTTCCAGGCATTTCGAATTTCCCACGAAAGGAAATTGTGCGCCTAAAACAAGCGAGGAAAGGCTGAATGAGAACGGGAAAAGCGGGACTTACATGAGTTGAACGGCACCGCCGGAAGGACTAATGGTTTTTCTGCGCAGATCCCGCCCAGATAGGACGCCCTTGCGCAGGTATCACTCTACGCATGTGCGAAATTAGCTAAAAATAGTACATGATTTGCGAACAGTAAATTCATTGATAGATTCCAGTATCAAAGACATATAGATTTATAATCCTTAAAATTTTGAAATAAATGCTGCAAATATATGGTAATTATTTACATTTTACTTATCATTTTCAGATGATATGCATAGTTTTGACGTAAAATCTTTCAGCATGATGGCAATAGTACCAACAGGCAAATGTCGTGCTAGCTTTACTTCAAACAGTAAAAGAAGAAGACCAGAACTTGGTCGTGTTTTGGTATGGTTGTAACAGTGGGGGGTTTATAGGTGCTACCAACTGAACCGGCCGACGGGCCTAGACCTTTTAGCCGAGTGGTTAGAGCATCTGCGTGTGGACTGGTGCCCGGGTTTGGTCGTGGGTCCGAACCCCAGCCCGGGACCAGGGGTTTTTATCTGTTTCTACTCGCTCCTCCTGATCTTACACGGTCACAGTGCACAAGGAGGTTGGGTTTCTGCTATTTACATACCAGAAAAGAGGGCCTGAAAGCCCTTTTTCGTAAGGCGTAATCAGGCCGTTTTAGACTTCGTAATTCGTAGGCAGCCTCCGAAAAACTCAACGTAATTCGTAATTGGACATTAGCCGCAAATCGTAAAGTCGTAATCAGCTCTGAGACTTTAACGTAATTCGTAATAGGCGGCGAAAATTTTGCGTAATTCGTAATCACTACCCCCCCTTGCAGGCCCTCAGAAAAGTGCAACTGCATATGTAGAGAGAAGTGAAGTGTTAGGGTAGCAGAGCACAGTTTTCGCCCTATGGGGATTTCTATAAGGACCCCAAGATGACTCACTTCGACGCGGTAAAAATTATAGTTTTTACCGCGTAAATAGGGTGCACTTCACAAATAATAGGGTGCACTTCACAAATACGAAGATTGAATATGTAACACAAAAAAACATTTCTACACCACACAGTACAATACTGTGCTATTTTCTACACTAGCCCTATGGCAGGTGCCGAAGTGCAAAGTTGGCAATATCTCAGTAACTGTTTGGTGTTTTGAAATAAAATTTGGCCAAGTTTTATATCTTGTCTAGTTTTGTCGAATGATCAAAAAGAAAATGCAAGGTCAAGTTGGTTCAAGGCCATGTGGGTCAAAACATGCATGCGTGGATGAGATGATTGCGGAATAGATAAAATATGTGAAATGCAATGCTATAGCTGATAGGTTTATAGATATGAAATAATCAATTTTCAGTTAACAAACATTTGTGATGTTGAAAGCTTTGTGAAACAAGTGCTTTTGCCAAAACCTGTCAGTGTGATATATTGTACATCTTACATATGCAACCCTGCATCTGCTTGGAAATAACTATATATAGGCATGCCACTCTAGAAGATGACTAAATAGTCAGATCATGGACGCCACCAACATTTGCTTGGAGATAACTCTTGCATATACCACCCTACATGTGCTTGGAAATGATTATAGATGTGTTCCTCTACATCTACTTTGAGATGATGCTGTACATATGCCACCTTTAGACATTACTACATAGACATGGCTCCAGGCTCACGTATCAACAACGCCATCTACCGACAGTTGGTAAAAACGGCAAATGTGGCAGGCAGAATGGCCCGTTGTTCCATTGTTTATAATACGCCGAATGTTTGACTCGTAACATAGCGGCATGCGCCGAAATGCAAAAAAAAAAAAATTATATTTGTACCCTCCAAAAAGTGAAATAGTCTTCAATCAGTTCAACAAACTAGCGTTTAATATTAACCAGGGCGCTTCATAAGTATCAAAGCTTCTTATTGGTAAGAAATTTCGCGGGAAATTCTAACAGCCAATCACTGGTAATTTAACAACAAAAGCTGCTGCCGGCCGGAGCATGCGCGGTGCGGAGCAAATTGCCAAAACATCAAAATCTCAAGTTTCCATGGAACGAGTAATTTTGGCAATTCTTGTTGCTCCTCGTCACACTTTGGCGTTGTATTTTTACAAGATTTCTCCAATTTTGGGCCAGATGGCTGGAAATTTTGGAGGCGTGGTCGCTTTGTGACATCGAGGCGGCGCCGTGAACTCGACTGATCGCTGACATAAAAGGACGACGCCGCCGGGCCCCCTTGTCAAAGGACATTTTTTGGCCCAAAACTGTCGAAATATTGGTTGTTTTCGGGAGTTGAGGGTTGCGGATGGCGAGTAGTGTGAGTAGGATGGAGGTGGAGCCGTCCCCACAGGCCGAGCCGTGCCTGGAGGACGGGAACGGGGGGAGCCAACTCCGCCGCTCCAACAGTGCCCCGATGATCAACAAACAAAGGTAAGAGCTAACCCCTGTAACGCCCCCCTCCCCCATCAGCACTGCAACTCCGTGGATACTATACTTCGTACAGTTACTAGATTTTGTTGTATTCTAAACATGTGAGCTAATTCTGATGATCTAAGCTCAAATGACAAGGCTCTTTGTAGGCTGAACATCGTTGACAAATATTTGTATATGTAGCTATGTGTAGATGCCTTGAACTTGAACTTTTCTATGTTGTTGTCATTTGACTCTAAATTGAGCCACTATTATTCTGAATTTCCTGCTCTGTAAATTTAACACAGAGCATATGTCACTGCCCTTTTCATCTTTGACTATATACTAGTACTATGTCTAAAAATTGGCTAACTTGTTTTTCATGTATACATGTTGCACTGTAAGAAACAGGAGGAGCCAATAAAAACCCACAGGTCCCAGGCCGGGGTTAGAACCCACGACCTCCTTGGCACCAGTCAGACGCTCTAACCGCTCGGCCGAAAAGGTCTAGACCCTTCGGCCGGGTCAGTTGGTAGTGCCTATAAACCCCCCCACTGTTACACTACTCCCCTTTTCTTTTCAAGATTCGTTCTCGAATCTTCCGAATTCGACATCCCTGGAGCGGCACTCTTTGCCAGAACTCCCAGGGCAGGGCCGGTGTGGGAACCACTGTAAGAAACAGAGAGCCAGGAGCCAGTAAAAACCCTTCTGGTCCCGGGCCGGGGTTCGAACCCACGACCTCCCGGGCACCAGAGCTTCATAACCAGATGCTCTAACCGCTCGGCCGAAAAGGTCTAGACCCGTTTGCCGGATCGTTTGCCGGATCTGTCAGTTGGTAGCGCCTATAAACCCCCCACCAATGCACATAACAATGTAAAGAAAACATTTGGTTAAGGTTCAGACCCTGTTTTATGAGAGTATCCTGTCAATACCTTTGTCACTTAATCATTGTGCTCTTCGAATTGAATTGATATAATTGTGATGATATTTGTTTTGTAATCCTATCATGTAATGTTTAAGATTATTTCTATGATATGTCATGGATAGTGGTCATAAAAGAAATACAGTAACTGTGCTGTTAGTGTAGTAATTCTTACCAATTCCTTTTTTTGTATTTCAGCGACCATGCACCAGTTTTTCAGCCGGTGATATCGCCACGTGTCAGGAGATTTAGTGCCAGTGTGGTCAACAATGGAGCCAGCGTAAGTCGTGTTTCTCAAAGTCAGAAAATCTGCAACATTCATGTTTAAAAGACAGCATATTTTAGATTATTGTCAGAGTGTGAGTGCTTCAGGATCAGTAATAGTACAAATACTATTTCTTATTTTTTAAGGATTATAATATATGATTTTGAGATGTAGGAATTGCAGGTTGTTTCATTTCTAAAGAAAAGTACTATAACAATGATTTTATCATTTTTCTGCTGACATATTATGATAAGATATGCTACTCTACATTGAATATCTTTACATACATAAACCTGCAAAAATATTGGGTGCACTGGTGCACCCACAGAAAAAATTGGGTGCACAGCTCCAAATTTGGGTGCATGTAGGTAAAATAAGGTGCACATGCACCCACTATTTCGAGCCCTCAGTGTAAAGACATAGAATGTATTTCCAACCCTAATTTGTCAGTATCAAGTCCGTGCAATGTACGTGTACCTCATGTGTTTACTAGCAGTACCACATGATTCAGTTGATTTTCTTTGTGTCTCTTTCCTTCAGCCCAATGCAGTATCTCCTCCTATCAGGATTGGCCACAGAATTTCTCAACTCAAAAGGGTAAGTACTGTCTGTCGAGTTGGTTGCTCTTAATGTTTTCATCATTTTCAAAACAAGTTAGACTGTGGTGTACATGGATTTCGTAGTTGTTGACACTCAATGTTTTACGTCAAACATTCCAGGAAGAAGGGATGAGTGTTTCAGACCGAGAGACTGAACATGAAAGGTGGGTACACGCATTCCCTTGTAGGATACATACTTGTTCTGCTAGTACATGTTGACATCTCAAAGCAGACTGTCACAAGCGGAAGCATGTCTTTTCACTTCCCAAGCCCCTGTCATGCTGGAATGTCAAACATTGCACTACAATGTATATAGCCTTGATGTGAGGTTGGTAGGAGGGCCTAGGAAAAAATGTTGTTTCCTGTTTCCCAACTGACCCTGGAAAAAACTGCTGACCTTAGCCTTTTTTGTGTTGACCCCTGCAAGGGACATAAATATTTTGAGCTGATCAACTTTTTCTGGCTCCATGATCTGACACGCAAGTGAAGGAACATTGTGCATGTACCATCGGTTTTCCAACATTGACATCCCTATTACCAACCCAGGACTGAAACAGGAAACTCAACATTTTTTCCCTGGGCATAGGGTTTTTTTATAATAAGTCACTGTACAAAAAGCCTAGAAGCAGACGTACAAAAATTATTATGGGCGCTCAGTCCAGGAGTTTCATGAAAACAAGGCTGCACCCATTACGTACTGAGAAGGATATGTTCCACCTGAGTTGATTCCAGCCCCACCTACATGTATGCTACTTGCAAAATGTGCCTTCAGGAGTAAACCGGTAATGACCTTGATAAGTACTGTCAAGTTCTGGGTGTCAACATCGTAACTTCAGCCCCTGTACACTTAGTATTGATCGCATGTTTGTACAGTATGGTAGGCATGTGACCTTGAAGTTCGTTGATACTTATTCCATGGTGGACAATAAATACCACACCCATACCACTTATCACATTCCAAGTTGTATATGCTGGTGGTAAGGGTAATCTGTGAAAATGTGGGGAAATATACTATATTTGTTATCAACCATTCACCTTTTCATTATTGCTGCATTTGTTGTTTCCAGGGAGATGCACTCTGTCATGCAAATGAGCCAATCCTGGGAGGAGACCTCTTTGGTATGCAAGCACAGTTTTGTATGTCTTGTTTCCTATGCTTAGTCCTTGGCACCAGTACTAGTACCAGTCCTCAGCAGTTGGGATGTTGGTCAAAATTGACAGAATGCTGTGGTGGGTGTTGGCTCTACACTGGAACTTCTGTCTCTGTTACTTGTTGGAGGCAGTTCAGGGCTCAACATACTGGGTGCATGTGCACCTTAGTGGACCCAAATTTGGAGCTATGCACCCAATTTTTTTTCTGTGGGTTCACAAGTGCACCCAAATATTTTCATAGGTTTACATATGTAAAGATGTTAAATGTATAGAAGTATACAGCATATTCTTAACATCTAAGTGTCAGAAAAATTATGAAATGATTGAAATTTGTTATAGTACTGAAATGAAACATAATTAGCTTTTGCTGACTTTCTACTTGATATTTTATCTTATAAGATGCACCCAAAAATTTTTGTGCACCCAATTTGTTAGGTTTGGTGCACCAGCGCACCTATTCCCAAAAATTAATTTTGAGTTGAAAGAAGTGGTGTCCCAAATCATCAACAGATGGGAGTGGCGATGATGATAATGATGAGTGAAAAAGTATTCTTACACTTAAGTATTGAGAGATTCAAAAGTATATGTAATGTTGTTTCATGACTATTTTCCTGTTTTCTTCCAGAGGGACAAGTTTATGCAGTCCTTCTCTGAGGAGAAAGGGGGCACCCTGAACAGTTCCTCCGACTCCAGTACCAAGACGGTGACTCCTCCCACATCCCTCCCCCCCATGTCACCTTCCAGCCGATTCGCCGAACCGCTCACCATCCTGCCTGCCTCCCTGCCTCTGTCTTCTAGCCCCTCCCCCACAAGAATTCCTAATAAGGTAAGGAAATGCCTACCTGACACTGTCATTTAGCCCCTCCCCTACCAGATTACCATATAAGGTCACAGCATGTAAATTTTATGGATGACATCCTGCACAGACTCCAAATCTAATGCAAGCGGGTGCCAACAAGGTTCCTACATTTTGAAATTTTGACTCAATGATGGTACAAATGGTTTTGATTTAGTGGGAACATTGTAAGAAACCAGGAGGAGACAGTAGAAACAGATAAAAACCCCTTGGTCCTGGGCCGGATTCGAACTCACGGCTCCCGGGCCACAGGCAGACGCTCTAACTGAGTGAGCTAAAAGGTCTAGACCCATTGGCTGGGTCAGTTGGTGGCGCCTATAAACCCCCAACTGTTACAACATCACATATACACAGCCAGCATCACAATCACATATCACTGCATCAAAGTAAGAAACAAAACTTAAATCAGAGTCTTTTCTTGTCTCCTCTCTTCATAGTTATCTGCCATCCACTTTCCAGCAAGGGAGCAGACATCTTTGCCCATTTCCGGCATGTTGACCACTGTCAGAAGGCAACAAAATTTCTTGTTTTTTTCTCCCAAAGTCAGCCGAAAATTAACGCACGCACTGATATCATCCTTAAAAATTACTTGCTGTGGCCTAAGGAAAGGAAAAAAGACAGCGACTCTAGATCTCTTTCAAGAATATAAAGAAAGGAAAGATGACCAGCCAGGCAAAATGCTGGTGATGGCATGAAGGATGGGTATTAGTAGGGCAGGTATTGTGTACAGTATAATTTCACAATTTTTCAATGTTCACAACAGAGTGCTATGTCCAAAGTGTTGTTTTTTGTGATGAAGTGTTTGTTTTGTTTGCAGCAATGTTTTTCCCCCTCCATGCAAATGTCTGTGAGGAACAGTAGCCTGAGCCCCAGTCCCATCCCCAGCCCAACTCGCAAGGCTTTTGTCACGTAAGTCACAGAAAACTTTTATGGCGTTACTGTTATAATAATAATAATAAACTGTTGAAGTACTTTTGCCCAGTGCTTCCTCTGAAAAAGAAAGTTCTAAAAATGTAATTGGATATCTAGTAGCATTTTTCTGCTTCTTTCAACATTGCTGTGTCTATAGTCATGTCATAAGCAGTTTTAATCTGATTATATATATTGAAGACCCATTTTAACGGATGGAGTGTGATTCATCTTTTTTCTTTTTTTTATCCCACAGGAGGAGGAGTCAGAGTCCTGGATGTATCCGGCCAAGCATTCTTGGAGAAACTCTCAAGAGAAAACGTAAGAAAATTTGACGAACTTGTACATATCTGTCTTTTCACTAGACTGAATTTGAATGTAGTAATATAGCCAGACAGAAGACTTTGAATCTCCAGAATGGCATCCTAAGTTTGTTTGTCCACACAGCCTGAGTGTGTTTCTAACATCTTCAATGTTTTTGAATGTGTTAAAGTATGTTCAGGAGACCACAAGCTGGACTTCAGTAGCCCCCCTAAGAGAGCCTGTCACTCAGACAACAGTACACCTGACAGCCCTGCGGCATCCACACCTCTCATACACAGGTATGTACAGATCTCTGGTGTTCTCTAGCACGCGTGTGTGTGTGTGTGTGTGTGTGTGTGTGTGTGTATGTGTGTGTGTGTGTGTGTGCATGTGTGCAGGTGTGTGTGTGTGAGAGAGATTTGCAACTCAGAAAAAACTGAATCGTATGTACAGGTGTGTGTGTGTGTGTGCATGTGTGTTCATGTGTAAGAGAGCGAGATTTGCAACTCAGAAAAAACTGAATGGTATGTACAACTCTGGTGTTCTGTAGTGTGTGCACAGATCTCTGGTATTCTCAAGTGTGTGTGTGTGTGTGTGTGTGTGTGTGAGAGAGAGAGAGAAAGAGAAATTTGCAACTCTGAAAAACTGAATCAGTTAACAGCTGTGTCTTATGTGGCAGAGACTGTCATTCTTGTATAGAACTCGTTCAGCCCTAGTCTGTGCAAATTAGGAGAGTCAGTAACATATGAGCTGATGGAGGCCATACATGTACATAGTGAATGAGTGTGCGTGTCTGTCTGTTTACTTTTTTGTACATTTTCTATGCCTAAGAATTGCATCGTCTGAATTGACTTGAAGACTTTTTTTTTCAAACAACCTCTCGTTTTTTTCCAGTCTGTCTTCAAGCAGCTTGGAGGAAGATGCCAGCCCACCGCAGTTCATCAACAGGATGCCAGGGGGCATCATTCACACCACTGCATCAACCCCCATGCACACCCTCCCGTCTCCACTTTTCTCCCACTCCTCCACCCTCATGACAACTCTCCCATCCCCCATGTGCACCCTCCCAACCCCCATCTCCACTTTACCCAACTCCAAAACTACCCTAGCCACCCCCACATCTACTAAAGCTGGCCCCTTGTCTACTGTCCCTCACTCTACCCCTCCCTCCTCTCTTTCTTCTCCTATTCCCACTCTTTCCTCCCCTCTATCCCAGTCCTCTCCCGTCTTTACTGCGGCTGCGTCCGTATTCACCCCCATCAGCTCCGTAAACGGACAGAAATTATAACAAATGTTTAACACAGAGTCCATAATTTATTACCCCATGCTACATGTAATGTACATAGGCGAATTGTACAGCGTCAAGGTATGACTAATAATATATTGTAGAGATGTATGTAGAATTTTTTGTGAAGAATGCAAGATTTGTGTACTGTAAGAAAACATATTATTGGGTGATAATATTGGTTTTCCCCCGCAAATTTTACTACCCTATAGGTAGGTACATGTACTGTAGATATATAATATTTGCCAGGAAATTCATTTGATCAACAGGTTATGTTGACTTTGTATATAATGCAATGCCACAAGGTATCAGTACAGTTTTGTGTCAAACAATCTAATTTAACTTTGTTGTTTACTAGATTTATAACTGTATTTCTCAATGTCCCAATGTCTTTTCTAGTCAAAACTGACCAGTGTTTTTCTCACTTTGCTATACATGTATCTGCATTTCTTGTAAAATCACATTGCTGACTGTTTTGAACAAACATTTTATTATGACTTTCATTTTCATGGTTTTGAATTTATAATTGTTCAGTTACCGATTAGCAAAATGACAGTTACCACAAAGCCTTTTTTAATACTACATGTATTTGTCACCAAAAAATACTAGTACATACCAAATCTGTGTACATAATCTTACTATACTATATCTTACCTGTTACATACATATATATTATACCTGACACCAAAACAGTATCTGTTACTTATAATTGTACATGTACATGTACTATACAACAACTAAACATGTACATGTGTAAGGCCACAGCAAGTAAATTTTATGAATGACATCCTCTGCAGACTCCAAATATAATGTGAGCGGGCAAAAAAAACAAGGCGGGCCAAAAAAAACAAGCTTCCTACATTTTAAAATTTTGACTCAATCATTCTACAAATGGTTTTGATTCAGTGGGAACATCACATATACACAGCGAGCATCACATATCACTGCATCAAAGAAACAAAACATTAAATCAGAGCCTTGTCTTGTCTCCTCTGTTCATAGTTATCTGCCATCCACCTTCCGGCATGGCAACAGACATCTTTGCCCATTTTGGGCATGTTGACCACTGTCAAGGGCAACAAAATTTCTTGCTTTTTTTTTTCCCAAATCAGGCAAAAATTAATGCGCGTGCTGATGTCATCCATAAAATTACTTGCTGTGGCCTAACCTTTCTATTCTTACATTTGGAGATTCAGATTTCTCTACAAAAAGTGGATCTAGCATAGCCTAAGATTTTTTGCATGCTGAAGTACAAAATAGCACAGGCTTATCCTTGATATTTTGATCTATGAATTTAAGGGAAAGATGTGTGTTTTTGCTTGTGAGATTGATGTCAGAATGTACTGTTGGCAAGGCCTAGGAAAAAAATGTTGTTTCCTGTTTCAGTCCTGAAAAAAATGAGGGTCGGTAGGTAGGGATCTCTAGTAATCCAGTACAGTTTAACAAAGTAAAACTTGTATGAGGAATATATTTTCGATGCAAATGTTCAAAAACTGATTGTACAACATTTCATCACTGAGGTGTCGGATCATGGAGCTATAAAAGGTCGATCAGCATGAAAATTACTAGTATGTCCCTTGCAGGGGTTCACACACAAAAAAGTCTAGGGTTGCAGGTTTTTCTATGGTCGGTTGGGAAACAGGAAACACAACATTTTTTTTCCTAGGCCCAAGCATAAAATGTCTTGGCTGGATGCTGTGTGGATATGGAGGGTTTGACGTGTTTTTGGCGATGCCTCAGGAGCAGAGCCAATAAGTACCTTAATGTGATGTGGTCTGATAATGCCAGTGATATGTCTGAAGGGAGTTTTCCGTTTGTGTTGTGGAGTCAAAGGAATGTTGCAAAGAAAAGGTCTCTCAGGAATGACTATAGTGTAAATACAGCCTTCTGGACGGGTCTATGCTATAGAGTTACAATAAAACACAATGGCTTAGGCTGAGATTTTACTTTATGTGTGTGTGATTTCTGTATTATTGATAATGCTCAATGTAATGTTCCCATGTATTCTCAGTGATGCTATTTTTTCAGTGGGACTGGGTGGGCTGCAAAGTAATATAGGTAATGTGGTGAAGTCTGCCATCTCTGATCCCATTGCTTCTGTATGGTAAGAGTACTAGTGTAGACATACATGTGCTAGTAGTAACAGGGCCTGGGACTAGTCAATGATTTCTCCACTCTAGACCTTACAGTATTTTGCAGATCTCCCTTAGTTTCCATAGAACATTGATACTGGGGTGCACTTCACGGGTTGACCGCTAGGGTTCCGTAGCGAACTTGCAACACATCTACAGCACAAGCTGTGTAGAACCAAGCTCTTTGGTTGAACTCCTTCTTAGTTTAGCCCTAGGCAATGTTTTCATACAATCAACGTGTTCATACACTCCAAGAAGAAGCCTTGAGAATCATAAAAACGCGAAAGGTAAGGTTATTTAAAGCTTTGAGCTTTATATAGCTTGTGAAAGCATCAAAATTCTAGGACTGTTGTATCTGTAGACGTTTTCGTTGTTACTGCTCCCACAATTTCGAACTTTGCAAGCAGTGTTATAAGGAATACCTGTCATAGTTTGCACGCTCTTTGCCTTTGTCCCGAATAACATCAACAGACTTTGTATTTGTTTCCATACTTTCTTTGTCGTTGTGACAGTTTTGCCAGTGTTTCACGGACTGAATAAACTTAAATAGTGACTCGGCCAGAGTCAACAAAACATGTTCGGTATTTTACGTGGTGCATGTAACATCACCACAACACATGAAGAAGTTTGACTTAGCTATTGTGTCGTGTATCTGAGTGCATCGGTGGTAAATAACAATGAGTTTTAAATACACGTGGAACCTTTGTGTCCAGGAGCAGTTGGTAAATCAAATTTATCTGACAATTTCCAGTTTTAACCCTTCAGCATAGTGGACAGCATAGTGGACAGCATAGTGGACAGCATAGTGGATAGTACAGTGGACACGTTCTACGGTAAAATACTGTAAATCTTGAAATGTTCGAGGTGGTTTTTGCACTATTTACAGTATGTGCCTGTCCATAGCAATATCCAATCTACCTTGAATAGTATTTTTAACATCACGAGACACATTTTAATGACATGTGGAAAACCGCCATGGCATGGACGCTGCACAGTTGTTTACTCAGATAAAATCACCTAGTTGTAAACCCAGATGAACTCACGCATGCACTTGCTTCGAATTCACTCATTTAAGCAATTTGACTACTGTTTCCACAACAAAAACCGTGCCGTGCCTCTGCATTAGACAAGACCCCTATCTCACAGTTTGTTTCAACTTTGTTTGTGACCTCAACCAGGGCTCGAAATACTTGGTGTATGTGCACCTTAGCTTAGTGCACCCAAAATTGGAGCTGTGCACTTTTTTCTGTGGGTGCACCCATATCTTTTTGAAGGTATTTTTGTACATATTAAATTTATAATAGTATACAGGATATTCTTGACATCTAATAAGTGAAAAATAATAGAATCTTTGTTGTAGCATGGTTGTAATTACTTAAGATTTTGAAGGTAGCTCCCATTTCGAATTCAAGCTCAGAAGAGGAGCTGTAAGATCTGGAATTAAGTTCTGGTTTATCTGCACCCAAAACAAAAAAAATGTGCACCTAATTTTTTAGGTTGGGTGCACCTATATTCTCAAAAATAACTTTCGAGCCCTGCCAACAATTGCACGGAACAGTCGTACAGATCTAGAGGAGGTTGCTTTTCAATTGTTCTTTATGAGGGATAACATTGATGATTGTTTACCTAACAAAGGAGGCCGGTTTATTTGTTTTGAAGCACAGGAAATGATTGATAATGATAACAACTAACGTCGTTGTAACAACGGAGTATCAAATTGAATGTTTTCATTGTCGTTTTAACTTCCAGTTCTTGGTAAAAGACACGAAGGGGGCCGCAAATAGGCGAACAATCGGTTGACTGAGGGGAAAGGTGGAACCGGTAGTACAGCTGCGTACCTTGGACCAAGGACATTGTGAAAGAACGTCTTTGCTTGGACAGAGTGACTGTATGTAACAACAGATCCCACTGGCATGAAAAGTTCATGTTCATACAGGCTATATACGGCATCTGATGCAGACAAGCTTTCGGTAAGTTCTTTCTTTCTTTAGGTCGGCAAGTTGGTAAGTTGCGTTGCGAGACTTTCAATGTCGCAGTACGTACTGATTCGTGAGGTTGATTATTCCTATAGGCTTTGCCAGAGAACAAAATCAACATGGTCTACGCAAAGGAAGGGAAGTGCTATCTTTCTTACTTTCCTGCTCCCCACTATTTAAAAAAAACGCCGAAACATTGTGTACTTTGAAACATTACCTCCAAACCTTTAAAACACCCCTTACTGTAATGTAATCAAATCAACACTGCCCAGAATGACCTGTAAATCCTGTTTGTTTATTTACCTATATCTATTTTTAAATCTAACTTTAAACAGACCACCAGCCACTAGGCCCCTGTTTTACTCTCCGTTCCTCTCCTGTGAACCTGACCTTCCCAGCATCACTCCCTAAGTTGTACTGCAAACACGCGAAACAAACGAAAGGCGGTCTGTGCATCTGGTACTATTTTTTCTCTAATCATTCAACGTCGTAACACGAGCACCCTACTTCAACACGTATGCGCAATGATCGCTCCCCAGTACACAGCGCACAAGGCCGGGGCACAGTGACAACCCCTACAACAGCTGGTGATGTGTTTTCAACGCTGAAGGTCAAATTTCTTTTGCTGTGAGTATTTCTGTTCCTTCTACAGGTACGAAATGGACGTCACTCACGTCAGGAATTCGTGGAAAACCAGCATCAACAGGCAGAACTCCTCTCGGAGAAACATGAAGCTTCTCCTGAAGGGACTACACGACCAGATTCATCAACTGGAGGATGGCGGGAATGCCGTTCCCATGGCAACCGTCGCACGACACCATCGCCTCGGCCGTCTGACAGAAATCCTCGATGACGTCATTGATATCCTGAAGACACTGAGGAGAGCCATAAAATCGTCTGAAACAAACAGCGACTCTGTCGTGTGGGGAAATATTGCCAACATGGCGGCCGAGATCTCACAGGTGAGTTATGAATGCAAATTGCAATTCGATACGTCCCAGCAGACATATTTACATCTTTGATTACATTTACCGAGAGAAATCAAAACATCAGTCAGCTAAAACTGATTTATTAATATTGCATAGTACTGACACGATATTCAGCAATATTAGGCTCCTCTAGATGACATTTCGTTGTGTTTACAACCAGTTTTACATACTGGAACGATTTGAATGAATTGATAGAATTGGGTCATACATCTCCAAATCTCAACATGTGGTGACAAAACGTAAAAACGTCTTCTACAAAGCATTCAACACACTCTGATCTGTCTAACTCTTTCCTGTGTGAATTTTCAAACCCTGTTTTTCTAATCTGTGGTCTGCGCGGCTAAACTCGGCGTCGGTGCTATGTCCACAATTTCACAGGTGGTCGTCAGAAAACAAACCGAAACCCGATCGTGCTCCACGAACCTCGGCAATTTCATGTTATATCTCCAATTCTTGTGATAGAAATTACTGTACTGTAGAAATTAAAGTCAAGTCATAAAATGTGTGTATATTGTGTCCTGTGCTCTGTGTTATATCACTATTATTATCATGGCCCCAAGCGTACGATGAGCAAAACGCCACGTTTACCATTGATCAAAGAAAAGAAAAATAAGGCAGGAACAATCCTGGACCATCTGGACACAATGACTCTCTGAACATTCCTGATTATGTATGGTACATATTCTATACACACTTCTGCATGCCAAGTCTCTCGTCCCCTTAATTAGGTAAAGGCGACAGGCATGACAGGTCGACGTCTATCTACTAGTTGTCAGACTGGTCGGTCTCATCTCAGAAAGCACACAAGGCAGGGTTGAATTAACAAAGAGGTTGTCATCACTGTTTGGTGAAGGGAAACATGTTTTTACGCCAACGTTATTATTATGACCGTCCCACTGCATGTGCATGTAAGTGCGCATGCAATGCCTTCAAGAACCAATTATTATGGGTAGTTAAGTGATATTTTATGAAGGGAATTTTGGAAATAGCCTGAGTGTCAGCCTTTTTATTTATAGCTTTCGTCCGCTCCCCACGATCCGTTACCAGTAACATCTCTATCATTTCATAATCATTTCTAGGTCTTATTAAGACCTATCCACCTACTATGTTTGATAACAATCCATCAAAAGCCAAAACATCAAGTGCACGTCTTCTATGTAATAGATTCTATGAAGTCTAGATGTTAAACATGATGTTAATGCACTGAGGCCGTATCGCAGACCCTGACATGTACTGACCCTCTCTCAACGTGCGGCTTCTGAACTGGGGCAATCGGTTCGTGACGTGCCAAGATTTCTCTGAAAAAAAACCTTCACGTCCAGAATGTAAAAGAACTTTCAACTCTCCGGGGAAGCTGTCAGGGTCAGTCTTGACAAAACACGACCAGACAGGCTGGTTTTCTCGTTACTGAACCAGAGAGTTGTCTGTTTTTTTGCTGTTGTTGGGATGATCCGGTGTTTCTTGCAGGGAGGGTTAGAAAATACCGTACGACAATACAGCCTAGCCTCCTGTGCAGGCCTCCGGGCGGGTGGGAGGTTTGATACTGCGTTTTGTAGAGTTTTTAACGCGTTCTTTTAATTGCCGGCAATTTGTACAATGATTGAAAACTAGCTTTTATTTTTCGTACTTGTTTCAGTAAGAAATGTATGTTGTAATAGTTGGCAGTAAACTTAGCACAATGTATCATTTCTTCTTTGACATGTCAACATTTGAAAATCTTATTTTGGGGGCCTGCCTTGTTTTTTTTTTCCCTATCGCATTAGATTTTGAGTCTGCGGGGGATGTCATCCTTAAAATTTACTTGCTGCGGCCTAATGCATTTATCGCAAGATACAGGACAAACAGGTGCATGTATGTGAGTACGTTAACACCTCGTGAGCACCATCCTTCGGAAAGCTATAGTACTGCAGAACATGGACCTTCATGCTATACTATGATATCATACTAAGATGGCATCATGCGACAACTTTCTTACGAACTTTGTGGTATGTGTCATTTCTACAGGGTAGTTCACAACTCCTTGATGCTTCGAACAAACTTCCAAACCCTTCGGAAACGGACGGCCACGCGATTGAGCAAAGTTTAATAGACATTCACACGGCGATAGAGGACATTCTGAAGCAGTTGCGATCCTTGACCGAAGAAGGCCGACGATGCACCGATAATCAGCTTCGGGAAATGTTCGGCAACCCTCGACTCCACCCAAGAACTGTCGACGCCCTCCAGCGGAAATTACCGGAAAGATACATCCGGGACATTCCAGATGCTATGAGAGAACCGATGATTGGTGAAGACAACGGACTATAGAAAAATATACAAACACTGTATAACTTTATTAATTAAATCGTGTATGTGGTGTATAGAACTTGTGTTAATAAGTTGTTTATTGTAATTCATAAGGTTTGGCAAACAAGAAAGATAAGATAATTCGGCCGCATACATGTGCATTATTAATTAAAAGCTCAATACAAATACTTGAGCGGAATCAGTATTTTCAAGTTGCCATGGCCAAAAAGGGAATTTCGCTGTTGAGTGTAGTTAGGGCAGTGTAACAAAAAGTGACTAATGTTTTCACATGGGTGACCACAAGCTGGACTAGAAACTAAATTACGAGAGAATAAGCTTGTTTGAATTGCATTGCAGCGTAAATGTACACAAAATTTGTCGTCATTCCGCAAGAAAGTCGTCGACCTATACTACGTATTACATCACAACGGTATGATAGCCACAGCGGAGCGAATATATAAAAAAATTCCAACATCTTTTCACAATTTGCCTTCAAGATTTCAAATGAGTATATGGAAAATAGTGCATTGGAACTGTACATCATTTGCAGTGTTTTCCTTTGCTATTTTAGCTTAATATCTCTTCGTTTCATAAATAAAGCATTAATTTATATGTGTACGTTACGCTGCGGTTTCAAATTCACCATTTCTTAGTGACGTCATAAAAACTTCAAAACATTCCTCGAGGAACGAAGCCAGAGACAAGACGTCTACAGCCGTTCTCGACGATTTCCACGCAAAATTTTGCTGATATTCCGATCTTCGGTCATATTTTACCCGTAAAATTTGTCGCAGAGTCCTAAAGGACAACGTAGTGGAAGGTGAGTATGATGCACTGTTTGGTTTTCAAGAATCGTGAACGTAAAATGCTCCGTTACTGAGAGTAAGGATTAAAATGTTTAGCCAATTGATAAGGGGGGGGGGGGTCGGGGCAAACTAACTTAGATGTCATGAGCTAAACAATAGTGAAGCATCATAACAAGGCGGCCGATAGACACGCAAGAACCAGGCCAGTTTCAGTGACGACATCGACATCATCAGCTACGAGTACAAGACATCAAGACGCCATTTTTCCACTGCACTTTGACTTCAACTTTAGATCATAATCATCAGAGAACTTGACATAGTGTTGATGGTTTCCATTGCCCGTAAAAGCGGCACATGTTCACTTGAAACCAACATGTGTACTTGAGTTTTCAGGATCACCTGTAGTAGACGCACTAAGGAGAAAGGTAAGAATATTTGCAATCGTTTAGATAGTCTTGAGTGTGATAATATTGATGCAGATACCATTACTGTTAGATGTCGACGTATCGACGTACATACCTTGACATATATTTATACAAGCTGTTGTACTGACATCTGAATATATTAAATTCGCATGGGGCCAAAGAACATTTTTCACGACGCAAAAGGACTTAGGGAATTCTTGATGTTCTATGGTGGAGTTTTGAATTGAGATTGTAATCAAACTAGCTATTTCTCAAGCGCCCCCCTCCCCACGGTCAAAGACCTGTTCTAGAACCCCAAATCTAAAAACCTCGGCGTCAGTGACGTCATAGAACAGTACAACAGACGTTGTAAACACATCGCCGCTAGTCACCAGCTAGAGCAGACGTGAAGCTTCACCGCTCCAGCTCAACGCCGCGATTTTCTGAGCAAAATCAATAAAGATTTGTCTTTCACTAACAATTCTTTATCCACAGCTCGTTCGAGACCGCAGGGCTTAAGGTGAGACCATAATTTGTCGCTCTCTTGGTTGTATCTCGTTATGAAATTGTTGAAGTTTGAACGTTGTAGTTTGAACGTTGTAGTTAGTGTGTTGCGGAGACGCGAACCCCCCCCCCCCCGCACGTCATCGCTTATGCACGTACGAACGTGCAGCGCTTGTGTACATTGGCAGGTAGTTGCGTACATTCGAAGACGTTTAATCGACGTAGCAAGTTTAAGTAAAAATCACGACATCTCGTAGCGTAGAAGCTGTGGAGTTGGCTATTCACGTGATCATCACGTGTGCGCGCTGACATCATCACGTGATTTATCTGCGCGTAACAGTGTAGGTAGGTAAAATAGCAGTGTGTAACTATCTACAGGAATGTCCTAGGAATCTATGTAGCAGAAGTAGTAAGGATTAGATTATTAACAGGTTGGTATGTGGTTTTATTAGAATTTAAAGAGATGGCTGCAGTGCCGCTTTCTGACGGCAGGGTGCGCCACTTGTACGTCGACACCACACAAGAAGCAGGGAGGCTCTATTGAACAGAACTTCCTAGTCAGTAGAACACTGCTGAAGAAAAGTCTCATGGCGCCATTTTAAGGCCGCCCAAACTGAACGTCGTAACTGAATGATTAAAGAGAACCTCTGTGTGTCGTCCACTTAATTGTTGTCGATGGCGACCTATAGCTAGTAAAAGCTTGAAAGAAGACCTACGCTCCGTGAATAGTTTCATCAGGTTGGTAAGTCACTGAGTAAAGAGACTATTTTTAGACAACCACGTCTTTCATTCAGTCGACGTTTCGGTGACCGTCTGTCACCTTCGAATTCCTCAGTGTAGTTCTGAATGATGCTGCAGCACAGGTGTCGCTGCTATAGATGCAGTTCCAAACGTACAAGACCATATTTAGTTCCTACAGTCCGCGTTACGATCTGGGCCATAGGGCAAAAGTAATACGAGTATATGTATCTTCAAATCTCTAAGGTAATGTCTCAATACTTGCAGAATTATTCAACTTGCTATAAGCATCCCCAACTTCCAATACGCCTCTAATAAAACCTCAACACTTACGCACTACTCACAATAAACAGTTCCCTCTTCCAAAAATGATAAGACATAACGAGAAAACACCGATGATATATATCGATAGCTACAACTACAATGTGGGATTATCTACCAAATCAGAAAGAGCCAACTGATGATTTGATGATTACAAATGTATAATTCATGCTAATTTGGTGACGTCATCAGTCAAAATTCAAGATGGTGGACCATATCAGTAACTGGTCTCTTTAAAATCTAAGTTTGTTTTTTATCATGTAGCAAAGAAGGGTAAAAACACGATAAAAAACATTCTAAGTTTGTTTTTTTATCATGTAGCAAGGAAGGGTACCTTGCACACATGGAAGTAGATGCCTCTTGGATTGACAAAGGTTTACCATGATGGTAAATGACATTTTTTTGTATATTTTTGTTTGAATGACAAATGTGCACTTATTTTAAATGTACTACATGTATTCCTGTGGCAGGACAATGCTGACTGTTACCACTGTGGTAATGCTGTTGCAAACCTGCTGGCAAAAAGTTGAATATCGATCGAAAGGGTAGATTTCTCCGATCCACAATGTGGTAAAGGGCCTTTCGATAGTAAGTCAGTCCAAAATGTCCAACATGTGAATATAACTGAATAAAGGACTGTCAGTGAGGCCTGGCGACTGCATCTAAAATGAAGCAAGTCATGATTTGGAACTCCGCTTTGGAACTGGCATAATTGTTGCTGACTTGCCAAAGCAACAGAAGGCCAGTATTTGTGTCCACAACTTACAACTTTTCACAACTAATGTATACCGGTGTGGCAAGCCTACAATGTCGGCCCAGGAAAGTGCCTACCATGGTCAAAATTCAAAAGGGCTCTTCTTCTTCTTTAAATGTTCTGGATTTCGAAAAGCATCTTGATGAATTCAGGCAAGCCCACGGCTTCTGGTTAACTCAGAAGAAGATTCTGCAAGGGTTCTGATACAACAGCCGTGAAGGACGTTTTCCTTGCTGAAGAAGCTTAAGGGTGTTAATCAACTCGTATCAGAGCTTTTCATCATTTCAAAAGCACCTAGACACCGGTGTTTATGCCAGCATGATTGTAGGGGGCATCCAGAAAAATAGGTGGGCATCAATGACACAGCTGATTGATGATGAGGCTATATATAAAACTCATCACCCATTGCATTGTTTCCCTAACTGCCTGATCACGTATTCTCTTAGTGTTGATCACGTGCTGATCACGTGCTCTCTATCCGCTAGGACACGTGCTCCCTTCTCCTCCTCAACATGTAACTCCCGGTCTAGAACTTCAAACCCGTACGTCGTCAGTGACGTCACAGAACAACAAAACATTCCATGTAAACACATCGCCGCGAACCTCCAGCCAGAGCAGACGTGAACCTTCACCTCTCCAGCTCACCGCCGCGATTTTTTGAGAAGATTCAATAAAGATTTGAATTTTTCTAACAATTCTTTATCCACAGCTCGTTCGAGACCGCAGGGCTTAAGGTGAGACCATAATTTGTTGTATTTTTACTGTTGTCTATGAAAAATAAACATACAGATATTGTCACTGCGCACAGCCCCACTAACAGCATGTTGCTGCGGCGCGCTGCCGGGACGTACAGCTGGTTTATCGCACGTTAGATTTTCCGCACGTCAGCACGAAACTAGTGAGTAAATCCGTGGACATTTTGGCTCACTAAGCAAGTAAAAGTCACGAAAATCGAAATACTAGTATGTAATGCCTATAAAATGTGATATGATTGCGAGCGCGGCGATCGTTTAGTGCATTAACAAGCGTAGTTAACATCGAACATCAACCAACTCAAGGTAGGTACGGCTTGCGCGTGGGTAACGTACTAGTACCAGTAGACAATGATTGAAAACTAAGATATTAGAGACTAGCAACTAGTGAGTAAAGTTTTCGTTTCAGGTTTAAGACATTAGCTACAGTGCCGTCTTGTCACGGCAGGTGGCGCATCATGGCGACACTTCGCAGCGAGAGCCGTTGCTATAGAACAACTACCGGGCATTCCTGTCTCCACACAAAGGAACGCTGTCCCATCAATTCACTAGCTAGACTGAGAAGCTTATTTCTTCTAGTGAAATAATGAGATAGAGACATGCTCTCTCATCTAGAGGATTAATAAGATAGAGGAACACATCACATTACTCCCTAGTAAGAGAAGATAGGAATAAACATATAACTTTAATTATTTGAGATAGATTGGCGCAATGTAATGCGACAACGTGTTAATGGGTTGTTCTCATATATAAATGTAGTTATCACGTATTTCCCTTCAAGAATTAATATCATTCTGAACTATAA